TTTTGTGCAGTTTATTCTTCTTTTTACATGTAGTTTCTTTGCTTATAATCTATTTATAGTCTTATGTATAAAAATAAGTATAAAAGTATAGGAGTCTGTAGTTTGAAAAGCAAAAAGCTTATAGTATGATACAATTGTCATCCTTTCAATTACCACCCTTTATTTCTGAAATAAATTCTATATACATTACATGCATTCACAATAAAAAGTAATTATTCAAGGTGCAATATAAAAAATTATCTTTAATTAATAATCTTTAAATGATGAATTCCGTTACTTTATTTTTTTTTTATATATTTTTTCATAATTATATAATATTTAATTTATTTGTATATATAAGTACAATAATTCAATATAATTTTATACAAATATAAATAATAAAAATATTAATACACTGAGTAAAATATATCATTTTGATGTTATTAAATAATAACAATAGTATATTGATAATACACTTTTCAATCATTCAAAATTAATTGAAAAAAGAAATATTTTGTATACATGAAACGTAATTTTAAAACTTCATTGATATGAAAGCGAAAGCATGACTAAGATTGTTTAAAAAATATATATTTGTTGCATATGCATTAATGAATTCGAAAACCCAATTGAAATGGGTGTATATATATGACTATTGTTTTTTATACAATATTAATTCGATTTTATAATAACAATGGTAATGCCAATTCTGACACGTAAAAATGAACAGGAAGATAATAACAATGATGGTACTAATATAAAGTGAAGTTGCTATTTGTATTACGTATTACAACTAACTTTTAATAATGTTGCACCTAAATCTTTTATAATACGTATGCATATTATTATATATTTTTAAATACCATAATAAATAATTATATACAACATTTTATAATAAGACTATATAAAAGGCTTTTGTTAAAATTTTAAATGTATTTTCTATACAAGTAAGATAAATTAATATATATATATATATAGTATTAGGAGTTAAATATCCAAAGTAAAATGTGAATTATAGTTGTTCATAAAAGTTACCATATTAAAGTAAGCACAGAAAAACGCTGATCTTGGAAATAAAAGCAAAACACTAACAGGTTAATACATGAGAAGCTCTCTCTCTCTTTCTTTGCTCCTTTCTTCACTTCACTGTATGGACTATGCTTCAAGGTCAAGAATCATTCATATTGCCTTAGGGAGTCGGTACTGTGCAAATCTGTTTTCAAGGGAAGACGAGCTTTGTTAAAGGCTACCGTTTAACTTACCGGCTGCTTCTAGACTAATTACGTCCTTGTTGAGGGTCCGGAAACGCCTTCTCATAAAAGTTTCTGCCGCGCTTGCGTTTAGTATATATACTCCTAGTTAAATCAGTTTTTAAACCGCTTTAATATATACATTAAATTTAACTTGGAATTTGATGAAGAATTTTTTTTACAGTAGGTGAAACTTTCAATCAGAAAATCATAAAAATTAATGAAACTTATCTACCACTATAGTATTTGAATGTATATGCATTAATTATTTATTGAAATGGTCAATGTATTGATCTTTATTTTAGAATTTATATTTCTAATTTAAATATATTTGTTCATTTAGAACTGTTATTATTTATATAATTATTTTTGTAATTATTCTCATCGCTCAAGTAGCAAATTATAAAAACTTTAATATATAAATCTTGACTTTGAACCATTTGCAATTGTTCAAATCTGCCACCTTTCTTCCTTTATACATAAATATAATATTTATCTATCGATCTCATATATTAGATACGTTTCTTTCTATAAACTTCTATATACCTACATTTTAAAGTGTAAATAATATAATCAAAAAGCAAAGATAAAAATAATTATATATAAAAGAAACGAACGATATATGCTGTGATGGTGGTAAGCCAGCCGATTTCGTTGAATCTTGCCAATAAAAACTATACTATACTAGTTTTTATTATCTATTTAAATATACATAGTTATTTTAAGTGCAATATCAAATATATATCAAATATATATAAGTATTCATTTGCATTTTAAAAACTTCTTTATTTTCCATATCGTAGCTACAATATTTATTTATATAATCATAATATAATTATTGTCGTCTTGTGGAATATACAAGATTTATATTTTGTTTAAATATTCAAATTGTAATATTCAAAATTTTTTTTAATTTTTGATATGTGATTGCCACTTTTAAAAGCCAAGTGTAAAATAACTTTAATCCAAGTTACTTCAACTAATACACTAAAATCAGATTTAAAAGATTTTTTCTATATATTTATATACACATATATTATAAAAATTACATTGAGAGACAGTATATATTGATTTATTAAAATATAAACTTCATTATTTATGGGTTAATAATATTATATTAAAATTAATTTTGTTATAAATTGTAATATGAAAAAATATATTTGGAAGGATTAAAATATCAGTAAACGTAAGCAATAATTGAAATTTTAGCTCGAAAGGAAAAGCAAAACTAACCAGTGAGAAATTAGTATAATAATGCTCCTGCAAGGTAAAATCTTGCTTTATATCAATGTCGAAGAAAAGGATAATGATATAGTCGTACCAAGGTAGAAATGTTTCTAGTTATTTTTGCTAGGCGGACTAACGCGTTTATTGCCGTACTTTAAATACAATTGTGTAATGGTTTTTTCCAATGACCACTAAGATGTTTCATCATAGTTTCAACAGCAACAGATATATCAAAAGTTAGTATAAACACTTTTTAACTTAGACGATACAGCGTAATATGTTTAGTGTGAGAACCCGAACTTGACATCGACAAGGACGTGTTTCGAAAGGAGGAAATTAAAAATGTGACTCGGACCAGACGCGGCCAAGTTAAAGGAAATAGTTTGTCGAATAGATCCAGACTCCTCTTGTGCTACGACTATCTTAGTCTATAATCTAGTGTTTGTTATAATATAAATCACACTATTATAAAAAGCCAAATTATTATGATAAGGCAATATTAAGTTAAATAGTCCAATTTTTCATTTATTTATGTATATAGATCATTATATCTTTTTATGAAAATAAAAATCCTTCTAATTTGAATAATAATTAAATTTATACGTGTAATACTTCGTTTCTCCCATAATAAGTAAGTATTTAATGTATAAAAATATAATTTAACAAAATTTAATATTTTTTATAAATTCAGTAATTTATTATTTATCTTAATAGTTCCACAAATTTCTTTACAAGAATTATCTGCAGCTTAAAATATCTAATATCTTATATAAAATATTTATAATATTTATTTCTGTTAAACTTTTATATTTATTCTAGTATATTGATGGATATTTATCTCATCATTATATTTTGTTCTTATGAAATATTTGTTTTATTTAATAGTAATGTAATCTTGTAAAAACGCTATTTGGTTTTTATTCATTTTAAATTTTAAAACACAAGAAATGATCAAGTAATATTTTTTTTCTTATAAGAATGAGTTTTTTTCAGTGAAAAATTTTTTTTGATTTATCAAAATTTTCCCTGTATTTTTAACTAATTTTTAGTTTTTATTTTGATGAAAAAATTATCATTCTGTTCTAACAAAAATTTAATATCAACTAAAAACAACAAATACAAAATCGGACATAATAAAATTAATGATTTACAATTGTTATACGCAGATTCAATTTGCTGTAGTATGAATAATTACTATGAAATCTATCGTATTAACATATCATATAATCAAAGCAACGATTTTTTTGCTTATTTCCAATGTTAATTTTATAAATAATTTAATATGTAAATAAACACATATTTACGTATGTAGATAACGATAGAATAATTTTAATATTAAGAATAATATTAATTAATATTAATTAAGAATGTTAAATAGTGAATAGTTAACATGATTTGTATAAATATTTGAATTTTATTACTAAGTTGGTATGGAATTTATTTTAAAATAATAAGTGTAATATTTGCTCCCAAACCATTATTTTTCTTGTTAAGTATTCAAATATTTTTCATGGAAAGTGTTCATTTTATAATTATAACAATTTATACAATTATATAAAATATTTATATTTTGCTATTTACACAATATAAATATTAATTCTTTGATTAATATATTTTTGCTTTATATTCCTTGATCTATGCAATGAATTATAATTTATACGAAGAATATTAAATTATATGTTTTATTACATATACTATTGGTTAATAGTTTTTTATTAAAAAGTGATATAATGCTGAAATTGTAGTTCTTTTTAAAAGGTAAGATGTAATACATTTAGAGTATTGGCACTATTTTTAATAAACTTCAAATGGCAAACTAAAATATTAATACTTGTATTACTTTCATACAATACATGTATATTATTTATTATAATCATTTGATCTTTTTTAGATACTCATAAAGGATACTTTACTTAAAATAGAAAATGTTATAATGATTCAAATGTGATTTCATCATATTAATATTAAATCTAGTACAAAGAAGATTAACACATTTAAATATAATACCGTAAAAAATTTCTTACAATCTTACGAATTCAAGTATGTTGAAATAGAATATTTGTATCCCCATGGGGGGGGGGGGGGGTGGGGGGGGGGGGGGGGGGGGGGGGGGGGGGGGGGGGGGGGTATATAGAATAAGATTACCTAGTAATGGATATGAATGTTTTAAGAGAATTTGTAGAATATAAATAAATAAACTAAACGTATAAATAGCGTAGGAAAATGTCTAGGAAACAGCGAACTATAGATAGATAAATAGCCACTTCTAGATGTTGTTATTCCCAATACTTCTACTGTAAAACTTATTTTCAAATATTTGATTGAAAAACATTTATAAATATAATGTATGCATTCTCAACTAATATATTTTATATAATACGACGAGTATTACATACATATATATATATATATATATATATATATATATATATATTTGTATTCTGTTTTACATTATTATTTAATGATAACTTTAATGATTTTTATACAGTTATTATATTAAGTATATAACGTACTCCTATTAAAAGTGGCTTTTACCTATTTCAGATTTTTGGAAGTAAGGCGGACCTGCAGCTACATACACAAATTCATATGCGTGAAGCTAAACCGTACAAGTGTACCCAGTGCTCTAAAGCATTTGCTAACTCATCGTACCTGTCGCAACATACACGCATCCATCTCGGTATAAAACCATATCGTTGTGAGATCTGCCAACGTAAGTTCACGCAGCTAAGTCATCTACAACAACACATTCGCACACACACTGGTGACAAACCATATAAGTGCCGGCATCCAGGTTGTACGAAAGCATTCAGCCAGCTAAGTAATTTACAAAGCCACTCGCGTTGTCATCAAACTGATAAACCGTACAAGTGTAATTCTTGTTATAAATGCTTTTCCGATGAACCTAGCCTTCTTGAACACATACCTAAGCATAAAGAATCTAAACATCTCAAGACTCACATTTGTCAATATTGCGGCAAGAGTTATACACAGGAAACTTATTTAGCCAAGCATATGCAGAAGCATGCAGAGCGCACTGATAAACGGCCACCTATTATCGGTTCAGGTCTTAGGCCATCTATTCACTCAATGACTGGACACCATCAAGAACATTATTGGCCTAAAGTCAGTCCTGATTCAGTTATTAGTGAATTGCACGAGCGACTACCTCATCACCATCATCCAGCAGCTGAATATCATCAAGCACAACCATCAGGGGAAATGTTATTACCTCCGCCACCTCACTCACATCGGGATTCTCTTGAGAACGATTCAAGGCAACAGACGCCTCAGCCATCTAGCGGTCAACAAAACCACCCAAATCATTCCACTCATCCGAATAGTAGCTCAGCCTTCACCCCTATCTCCTCTATCTCTATCAATTCAATCTCTTCAATGCAGCATCCGCTTAACCCACTCAACCACCTGCATTATCCAACAAGCCACCATCCAGCTTCAAGACCCTACCTTTACGAAACCTTCAATTCCCAAAAGGCTTCCACAACTTCTGCAGCTTCGACTGTAGCTACTAGTGTGCCAACTAATCAGAATTCTTCATTTCCAAACCAGCTTATCAGCTTGCACCAAATCCGAAATTATGCTCACCAACCAAATCTAGGCAATCTTGGCAATCTCGGTAACTTAAGTAATCTAAGTAACCTGGGCAACCTTAGTACAAGTATGGAAAGCCACGCACTCATTGGCAGCCTCAAGGATAAGTAGTAGCCATTTGAACATACAAACCAAGCAGTACTTATCATTACAAAGAAGAATTAATACATGCACCATATATTTTGGATTTTTTTCATTTATTTTTTTCAAAATCTCTGGATGATTATACGCTAAAGTTCATTACGAATCCGCCTGTTTTCTGGCCATGAGTTAACGTGTTTATTTTGCTATTTCATCTTTAGTTATTGCTATTATCAAAATAACTAAGTGAATAATTTTTTGTGTCGTCCAGTAATTCGCTTTGTTTTCCCTCTCTTTCTCTCTCTCCCTCTCACTCATATTCATTTTTCAGAGTAATTTTTTTCTTATCTGTTTTTCTTATTGTCTATTTCTATTTTTTGGCTGCTGTACTTCTTATTTTTTACACCGCCATTTTCTAGAAAAATTCGTACTATACTTATCCTAACATCCTGATTTTACCTTTTAAATTTATCTAATGACAAATTTAGATCGATGTATCTTTAAAAAGTTAAATTATTTACTAATTGACAGTTCAATGCTTGGAAAGATATACGTTATATCGTGTGATACATCAAAAAGAAAAGTCGGTCATGGCATTTTTTAAATGTGATCAAAGATTTAACCAAGGAAATCGGGGCTATCCATGCGCACATTTTTGAAAACACGGATATACAAGCCACTCAGTTCTAATTAATTTTAGAATACTAAACGATTTCTTGTAAAAAATTATTTAACAATAATGAATCGTTATTTTTTATATTAAGATAATAATGAGTTACTAAATTTATATTGTTTATAGTAATAATTTTTATAATTTAAATTAACAATAAATGTTTATACAAATTTACATTTTTACAACTAATCAATTATTTTTATTGCTCATGTATAACTCATTATTGTATAATTAATTATCTATGTTTCGTATAAAGCATATAATAATCCTTGTATATAAAATTTAAAAAATTCAATTCATATAAAAATAATTGATTATTAAAAACGATAACTTATGTTTCACTATTAAAAATTCGATCTTAATAATACTTGGAACTTGTATTTTTATCGTGTTTGATTATAGTTTATAGAAGTAAATAGAATTTCGTTAGTTTATATTGTTTAAAGATAAATGAGATTGTTATTATTATTTATTAAAAAGTATATTTTTAATCAATTATTTAAGAAATTAAAGTGCAAAAATTATATCTTAAAATTTTTAGTACATTTATTTAAAAGTATATTGTTAATTAAGCTTAGTTGTATATTGTTATTAAAAACTTAGTAAATATATCTTATAATTCAACTCCTATTTTATATTTGAATTAACAAAAGTATACTTAGTTTGTATATGTAATTGAAAATATAAATCTATTATAATAACATGTTTTTATTCTCATTTGAAAATTATTTTAGGAATTATGAATAAAAATGTTCAGGCTTAGTTTAATTAAAAAAACTCTAATTTATATTAAAGTAATTTATAGATTCCATCGTAAGAAATTCGTTCTATTCATGTTCTAACATGTCCTCTATTTTGTATTTTGTAAATTATATTATAAAAATTTATAAAATATTGGAAAAAGAAACTAGATAAAAGTAAAAAAATCTTAACTTTAAAAAAATAAATATGTGTAAAAAAATTTTCAAATGAATTTATAAAACAATAAATACGAAAAGAGAAATATGTGAGAAAAAGAAACCAATTAATCGCCTTTTCCTTATTTTCTAATAATTCTGAAATCTTTAACCAATAAAATCATTGCTTTATTTATATATTAAAAAAAAATTAAAAGTAACGTGATTATTTAAAATAAATTCTTTTATATTCAAAATATATAAAAAATGTTTTTTAATTCTTCAGCAATTTCAACACACTATTTATACAAGTTTTAATTATATAACTGTTTATAAAAACACAGTTATTTATAAATAAGTAGTGATATTATAAAGTTATTAAACAAATCAAAAGCTCGACATTTGATATAAATATTTATTTAAAATTTCATACAAATTTGCATGTAACATATTTTTCAATATTTTTATTATTAACCACTAGGTATATTTTATTGTTATTGAATCTTGTTAAACTATATTATTAGTAATATTATTTTGGTCAAACATTAATTAAATTGACTTAAAAAATTTCATAATAAATTTAATTGCTTTGTATGTGCGTGAGAGTTTCAGATATGTACATTATTAAGCACTGTACATACAGTTTGTATTATAAATTATTAAAATACAATTTCCAAGAAATATGACTTTATAGTTTAAAAGTAAAATAATTTAGTAAGAAAATTGTACAATAAAATATATTATAATCATGCGTAGATATTATTTTAACGTTTATATTATATGAATTTAAAATAATAATCTTTGATGAATTTTTTTTTGTGTGCACCCAGTTAAAATTTCCTTGGTCGACTTGGATCATATTCATAAAGTATTTATGTTCTTATCTTACATAAATAAAAAAGGGTTTATTCCAGACGTTCGATAAGAGTCTATCATTGATTCAAATATAATTTCTGAAATTAAGTATCCCACTCTTGGCTTTTGATTCGATAAACTATAAATGTAAACTTCTATCTAAATCATTATATACAAAATATACTCTTAAAGAATATCCAACGTTCATCAATTATTAATAAAAATTCTCGCGACTGGTGTAATTAAAAACCGTCCGTTTCGCAAGTGTACAAAATTTCTGCATATGCAATTTTTAATATATTTAATACAAAGTTTTGCATATTCAAACATCATTAAATTATCTATACTATGCATTATAAAGCAGAAACTAAATATTAAAATTTATATTTTATTTTAGCTATGCGATAATGGAATATCACTTTTTTAAACGTACGGAAATAAAATAAACGATTAACTATGATATGTATATTTTATTCTTTTAAATAACTTTATGTGGAAGTTTGTGTACATACAGTTAAAAATAACTAAAACGCCAAAAATTTTAAAATAAGATTTCTAGAATGATTAATACAGCAAATTTTTCACAATTTCAAAATGTATAATATAGTATATCAAAGCTCACTAAAGCACCGATGTTTTCAATAAATTAGTTAATTAAATAAATTTAAGGTTAATGAAACGGATGGTGCAAGGCTCGCGACAAAACATATTGTCTTTTAGAGTTTTTCTGTATAAAATAAGTTATGTCTTCAAGATTTGCAAGAAAAATTATAATGAAGTTTTATGTAATGATTCATAGTATTTTAACTATACAAAGACGTAAAAAATGCAAAGATAAATAATGTCATAAAGCGATCGTGTGTGAAAAAGTGATAGCGCATAAAAGAAATATTAAAAAGATCACTTTTAGATTTAAACATAAAGGGAGAAACAATATAATGCGTGGTATGAACAGAACTGTGATATTGTTATTATATAAAAATTAAATGACGGAAGAAATGAAAGAAATCTAAAGTAAATACTATACCATAGGGTGAATTACATAATACTGTATTTTACAAGAAAAGTGCATTCTTAAACGTTTTAATGCGATTGTACGTAAGATAAAAGGAATGTATGTAAAACTAAGAAAGTGTAAAAATAACAAATTATTAATACATAAGTCAGCGAGAAACCCTGTAAAAATTGAACGTATTCTTCAATATTAACCATTTCATCCGGTACTTTTATTAATAAATATTAATATTGTAAGTATCAATTCTAAAAAAAGAGAAAACTATAAAAAATTTTTAAACAATGAAAATGTATTATTTGTAAGAAACGTATAAATTTTACAGGGTGCTTAGTACATTGTTTTTACGCTAATCTCCGATTCTGGTATTTAAATAATTTCAACTATTTATAAGAAAAAATGGGAAAAGTCATTGTAGAAGAGAATGTTTTGAAAAATAACATAGAGCGAAATAGTCGTTTAGAAATAAACAGAGCTGTATGTATACTATTATACATATATTGTACTGTATTAAATGTTTTACCACAAAAAAGTGCGATATTTCGATAATTTTTAATATTAAAACAAAAATTTATACGAAATATTCGTGTATAAAGGAATTCTAGATATAAGCGAATGAGCAATAAACACGAGAAATACTAATGTCTAAAAATTTATTAGATAAAATGTATACACTGCATATGAAACCAAGGCTATGCGATTTTTGGTATTTCTCGTGAAGTTGTCCGTTTCCTTCCTCCTTTTACATAAAAAATTTTTTGACGGGGGTATAGGTTTTATTCCATATGAAACGATAATGGTGAGGCGTTTATTTGTCTGTTTTTCAAGTAATGTGAGTGGTAAGCATACAAATGGCTATGTCTGCTTATATCTATACAATGAAACATGGTTGAGAATTATAAATGGCCGTATGAAGAAAATTTCTTTAATATATTACTTCCTTAAGTTAAAATTAATTATTTTCATGTTTAAATAAATATTATTTTGATATTGAATGTTTTAACTGTTCATTGACACCAATTTAATTCTAAAATAAATGATACATATAATGTTAACAATCTATTATTCATTACTCAAAATCAAATTCAGGTACTGAATATTTAAAAGAAGGAATTAGAATTTTTTAATTCATTAAGTTTTAATAGTTGTCATAACCTTCAAAATATAACTTTATTCTTCAACTGTTAATATTTTCTTAATCGATTTTATATATTTTTTCGTTTTTTGGCATGTTTTAAATTAAAATTTGTATACATGAAGTTGTTAATGATTGTACATAAACAAACAAAACTAAGCAACATTTCCATCTTACTTTAGAACTAATTTCGGTTCTGTAATATATATATATATATATTGTAAAACTAATACTAAAAACATTTCATTTTTAACATTTAAATTGATGATTGTTTCGATGTATAGAATAGTTACCAAATACAAATACTTAACAAATTTAATTTATTAACTAAATTAATTATTTTAATACATAAAAGCAATTATTTCAATATTTTAAATAAATATTTTTATTGATAAAATTATTATAATCATGAAAATAAGTTTAATTGTAGTATACATTACACAAAATACTTTTTTTATACTAATAATGATTACATGTCTAAAAACATTAATTTTATTTATAATTATATTTAGTGTAATGATAGAATGCAAAATTTTACAAATTATTTTTAAAAGAGTTTTCAATTATTTAATTTTTTTACAGTTTACAATATGAGTAATTTTTTTCTGTTACTTTTGTGATTTATATTTAGATAAAATATAAATATTGATTTCTTATCAAACTGTAATTATTACAAAATAAGTGATATAAAATAATCAATATATTATAATAGAAAAACTTTCCATAATCTT